TACACAGTTAGACAAAGGAACAAAAACCCATTATCTTCCCCAGATCAAAAACAAGAACTGAAACAGTAGGTGTGACTTGTTAAGGTCACTCAAGAATTGAGCAACAGAGATTGGAACAGAAATTTTTATTTCTCTGAGTCACAGCTCAATGTCTCAGTCACAAGACCATCCTTCACCTCTCGCTCTTTTCCCAAGGGAGGAACATGTTATTCCTATTTGATTACGTAGCAGCACTCCTAGCTGCAGGCAACAGGGTCCTTCTAAGCAAGCAGAGTACCAGCAAGGGTGGAGTCTGAAGCAACAGAGACACATGAGCACTTGCCTCCCTGCTGGAGGCATATGACACAGCTGGTGTAAATCAGAGAGGCTGCCTGATTTCTACAGCACCCTCAGATTTCATGCCCCATAAAGCTGATGGAGACAAGGAGAATTTGCAGCCCGATCCCCCTCAGATTAGGTTTCTGAACATTTCTTTTATGGCATGTGGGGAGAATTTGAAGGAGAGCTCAACAGCACAGATATTTTCCTGGCAAGGGAAGAGCTTTGAAGCTCTCAAGTGGTCCCAGAATAAACTTCATGACTTGGGAATGAACACTATGTGCTGACAACGTCATCAGTTCACGGCTTTAAAGGCCAGCTTTTCAAGACAGCTTTACTTGGTGCCCACTGCAAGGCTGTGATCCAGCCAGATTTTCTGGAATGAATGCAAGGGGTTAAATGGGCCACCTCCATGGGATGCTTCTGTGGGCATGCATGCTCATCCCCATGCACAGCAAGGGATGGGAGACACTCACCTGTGAGAAGCAGATGTGAGCTGGAGCTTTCTGACACGACCAGTCCTGCTGGTTCCCCTCACAAACCTGAAGTCTCACTGCAGGGGGAATGGAGGGGAAAGGGAATCATTGGGACACAATCTATGAGAGGAATTGCAGCAAACATAGAGACATGGTTTAGGCTCATACAGCATATCCAGAAAGATTAGGAAAGGCCCAACAAATACCAAAAATAATCACATAATGAAAAAGCAAGGATTCAAATATTAAGTGATTCCATGCAGAAGATGGACAGGGGTCTAAATGGGAAGAAGGTAGTGGTTAGATGAACGTTATGGGATGCCTCCTGGCTAAGAAATAGTGTGGAGGTGTAAAAAAGTTTATCTAATGAAAGTAGATGCAGGGAAAAAATTCTGGCTCTGTTGAAATCCAAGACAGAAAAAGACTTCAGGGTAGTCTGGGTTTGGCTGGGGAGATTTGCTGTGCTGTAAGCCTGCAGGCATTGCTTTTGCTCATAGCCACAACATGGTACATGTGTGGTCCTGCCACATACTCAAATGCCATCTAGGCCAGTTTATGAAAAAAAAATGCTGGTTAGAAAGTACAAAATTCTAGTTATACCACACACCCTCTCTTCAAAACCATTCAAACCTTTGGGGGAGTTCTTGACTTCAGGGAGAAAAGCTGAACAAGCAAAAATTTCCCTGTCCCTCCATGTGAATGGTTTCTTAAATATCTTGAAATAAAGTTGTTTTTCTGCATGAAACTTGGTCCATTCAAGACCAAGTTTCATGATCCTGTAGTGGCAGTTTCACTTCTCATTCCTACCAGGTCCCAGGCAGACACTGTGCAGTAGAAGCAATAGTTTGGGAACTATGGCTTGGGGCAGAGTGGCTGGAAAGATGCCTGGTGGAAAAGGACCCAGGGTTCTTGGCTGACAGGGGCTGAACACGAACCAGTGTGTGCCCAGGTGGCCAATGCCACCAATGGCATCCTGGCCTGTGTCAATAATACTCTGGCCAGCAGAACCTGGGCAGGAATTGTTCCTCTCAACCAGTGTACCCTCCTGATAAGGCTGCAGCTCGAATCCTGTGCTCAGTTTTGGGCTCCTCTCTGCAAGAAAGACACTGAAGTGCTGGAGTGTGTCCAGAGAAGAGCGGTAGAACTGGTGAAGGGTCTGGAGCACAAGGTCTGTGAGGAGCAGCTCAGGGAGCTGAGGGTGTTTAGCCTGGAGAAAAAGAGGCTCATGAGGGACCTCATCACTCTCTACAACTGCCTGAAGGGAGGTTGTAGCCAGGAGGGGGTGAAACTCTTCTCCCAAGTAACCAGCAATAAGACTAGAGGAAGTGGCCTCAAGTTGCATGAGGGGAGTTTTAGATTGGATATTAGGAAAAATCTCACCGAAAGGGTTGTCAAGTATTGGAACAGGCTTGCCAGGGAAGTGTTTGAGTCTCCACCTGTGGAGGTATTTAAAATATGTGTAGATATGATGTTTAGGGACTTGATTTAGTGTTGTACTTGGCAGTGTGAGGTTAATGGTTGGTCTTGATGATCCTAAAATCTTTTCCAGCCTAAACAATTCTATGATTCTAACCAGTGTCAATCTGCAGAGATGCTCCTGGGCTCAGGACATTTTCTGACAGAAAATGTCCTGAGAGAGAGCAAAAGCAGCTACATAGCAAGTTTTTCTTCAGCAAGGAGCCTGACACAGCTCCTGGCTTTGTCAAGTCGGAGCTCCAAGTTCGTGACCATTTTTTCTTCTTACAGAGGGAAGAGGAGTAAAGACATTATTACTGTCTTACTGACATCTGCCCCCAGGTTTAGGAATAAATCAGTAATTGCAACCAAAGCTACAAGCAAAAAGCTGGTGACAGCTGGGAAGATTTTGTAATTGACATAGCAAAATCTCTGTGGGGTCTCCCCACTGAGATTCTCTTTCACTCTTGCAGGTTCTTCCACCTGGTGGGAAGCAAAGCAGAAGAGCATGGCAGAGGAGCTGAACATGACTACAGACAAATGTGTACAGATGCTGTATTTGCCTTTGGCTGACACAACCTTTGCTGCAGTTCAGCTCACCACTTTCCCTTCCTTTTTCTCATGCTGTATCCCCATACTGTAAGGTGATGCATCGCCACATCACCACATACTTATTAAAGCCTCTCATGACAGTCACTCAGAGCCAGTGATTTCCCGCAGATACTTTAATCACATGCCAAAGAAAGGGGAGCAGGAAACCAGCAACTGGAAACAGCTGATGCAGAAGGGGATGTGACAATTAGGCAGCCTGATGACAGAGGCCAAGCAGGAGCACACATGCAGGGAAGAGAGGATTGCATGACAGAAACATTGCTTATGACCACTGGACCACAGGGTTAAACTCTCTTGCTGTTACCATGATGTGATGCCTCAGAGAATAGGGCATTAGTCCATGTCAGTCATTCAGATACCAGGGAAGAAGAACCTCCCTGAACAAAGCAAAAAGGGTGGCAAAGGAGCAGCTGGTATATATTAAGTGGCCTTCCCTTTAATTATCTCACCAATAACAAAACCGATAACTCTCCAAAGGGTAAGACTGAGGTGTGATGGTAGAGATAGTGAGATATGAGCCCTCAAGTTTACTGTAGTGTGTGAGATCCTTAGCTGGAAGAGAGAATGGAGAGAAAAGGGAGAGAGTGGGACAGATCTTTGATCCCAGCTTTGTCACAGCCTGTGGTGCAAAGCAGGCAAAAAACTGACTGAAAGAATTGCACTGAGGCAGAGTGTAGCAGTGTTCCTCAGCAATTCAGTCTTTATTAAAAAAAAAAAATCAAACCAGGCATAGCTCATGGCTTTTCCTTTATAATCAACTAAAAAACAGACTAAAAATTTGTATGTGCCTTTATTTTCCCATCTTGTTTATATAAATTAAATAGCATTTTCTTTCTCCTTCTCCTTTTTCTCATTTTTTGCAATGAGGAATGTAGGTGTGTTTTCTTTCAGTGTGTACTTTCACAATATTTTGTAGAAAACATTTAATGTCTCCCCAAGCACCTGTCATCTTTGATAGCAAGTTCATAAGCACTGACATGAAACACCCAACTTTGTCTCTTACTTCTCTTGCAATTTAGAAACACAAGAGGGGAAAGCACACCTAAATCTTGGCCACTATAGCAGTGTCCAAGGGAAATATGGCTGTGGCACAGGTAGCATGAACCCTAAACTCCTTTTAATAACATTACCTTTGGATCCATTGTAATCTTTTTTCAGGGTGATGTTAGCTGGATAAAATGTTATCTCATGTCACCTTGCCCTCACACTCTTCTGAGACAAATATTTACTTGCTTCATCTGAAGGTCTGGTTCATTAAAATTAATAATGTATCAAAATACATAATGGCACTGACCACATTTATGTGTAATTAAGTAATTTTCCTTGTACAAAATTGCTGCAAGTGCACCAAAGTTACATCCATATTAATGGGACACTAACACAAAGATTGTGGAAAGCAATACCTGGCTCTACAGTCAGGTATCATTTTCACTATATCACAGTTGGTTTTGAGACTCTCTACTTGGAAAGACACATGCATTATGAGAAATGTCTCCATTCTCATCACAAGTGAAACACATAAAAGTTCTGCTACTTCTGAGAAAAAAACACAGCTAACGCTAAGGGCTGCAGCAGCACTGACAAACCCTTTCCACACCGCACATAAATTTTGATTCTGAGGACTGCTTTCTTCTCTGACAACTCTTTTTTCTCCTCTGTGCATTATACTGGTGGGAGTTGAATGTGGCTCATTGGCTCGTGTAACAGCATCAGAGGTTTGTGTCCAAACCCCTGTGGCGTCACAGTTTGCCAGATGTCTGCAGTGGAGCAGACTAAACTCACCAGCTGTGCCTGGCATAGGAGGGGTGGCAAAGGGTAGACAGTAAATGGAATGCTGTAGAAAAAACACAGAGCAAAGGCTGCTGGCTGAAGGGACCAGGAGGTGGGAATTAATTGTGTGGGTTTTACCCATGATGAGCAAGATCTTCCAAATCTGTCATATCAGCTTCTATCCACTGTATAAACCAAAAATTCTACCCAGGGCTCTACCAAGGCCCTCTTTCCATTTGTACATGTATAGTGCCTCAGCTGGAGTCAAAATAACTCATTTTTTCTGTGTTCATCCTAGTACCACTGCATTGTTGCTGTGGTGATCTACAACTGTGACAGCCACAAGTGATGGATGGAGCAACAGGAAATCCGTGGGAAATCAAAAGGCCGAGGTTTGTATCAGGGCACCTCAGCCACGTGCATCAGCTAGCAAGGAGAAAAAGGGAGTGAAGAGGACATGAATGATCCTGAATGAGCAGACTAAAATGGAAGGGGAAAATGAAAGAAGAAAGCGGAGACATTGACTTTATGGTGAGGCAGGGAGTAGTGACTTGGTAGACAATTTTTTTTACTGCAGACTTCCCAAACAGCTCTAGCCAAGTCATCCCACTGGTTTATCTCTGTAAAAAGTTTCTGAGAGAGGAATAGTCACAAAATATCATGAGCCATGGTGAATATAAAACAGAATGGCAACCACCTTCTAAGTGATACAAACCAGGCTGAACAACAACCAGAAAAAAAAGTTTTTATCTGAACATTCTCAACAAAGTCACAATTCATGGAGGAAAGCAAACAGAAACAGACAGTGAGAGAGTTGAATCAATTTCTGCTTGTGTCCATGATGGATCTATACCCAATATATGCCATTCCTATACTTTCAGGAAGCTGTTTTACCTTATTTGCTGGCATCAGCACTGCAGGGCTTATCCCAAGTTGACAAACGTGGTGTTATCTCATGTTCCTCAGCATCAGGGAGGGACAACATCTTTCTGCTGAAATTGTGTTTTCCTTTGCCTGCTGTCATTCTCCTCCCACCAGGTGTTCTCTGTGATTCATTGCTTTGCACCCTAAGTTCCACTGATGTGGTTGAAAGAACAGACTTTAATTTAGGTAAAGTGGAGAAGACCTCTTGGATATCAATACTGCCAAACTGATTTGTGATTAGGCAAATATAGCCCTGGAAGCCTCTCAGTCACTGAGTGCTATCACAGGAAGCCACAGAACAAAATGTCTTTCATTTGAGTGAAATCTTTTTAAAGCATCTGGCCTCTTTCCATGGCTAGAAGCTGTCTTTTAATTTCTAGAGTAAATTCCTTTATGGACAGTTTAGACTCAATTGTACTTGGGATGTCCTTCAGCTGTAATATCTGATTTTTACACTCCAATCGATTTATAGAGAGGAAATCTAGCCACTGCCATCCTTCACTTTTCTGGCTGTAAAAGCCGGTCTCCCTTAGTCTCTCTACATAGGCTATGAGCCTCCCTGGCCCTGGTCACATGTGCTCACTCTTCTCTTCACCTGCTCCCATTGAAACTCATCTTTCTAGGAAGTGGGCAACAAGAATTGTACTCCATTTTTCAGATGAGATCTCTCCTGAGTCCTGCCTACCAATAATCACTCTTCCTTCTCTTTCTGGATATACTGTAGGGTATTATTTGTCTTTACACACTTGCAACATTTTGGAGCTCACAGTCGCTGTGCAATGACAGTGTAGTGTATTATTAAGAGCAAGTTTTTGTCATTCTCTGGCATTTCCAGGTATTGACCCACAATAGTGTTGTGTTACACATGCTGATACATTTCTGCATATTAAAGCTAAGGCACTAGGAAAGTCAACTACTGAATTCCACTCTTCCAAACTCTGCCTTCCCTTTCTGTACTACCTGACTTTGTCTCCTCATCAGCCAGCTCTTCACCTACCTTCTAACTTTTTCATAACTTCTATTTTAGCTATTAATTACACTTAGAGCACTATGTCAAGTACCTTATTGTAGTCTGGACAGGTAAGATCTCTATCATTTCTCCAATCCAAAATAGTTGTTTTATCAAAGAGAAATATCAAGTTATTCTGGTATGCTCTGCCTTTGACAAACTAATATTACATTGTTCCTCACTGTTCATTTGCCTCTGTGGTTTTTTTAAATTTTTCCCTCCTACAGATTGGTTCTAAAGCTGTAGGCACAGTGGTGGTCAGAAGAATGGGTCTGCATTTCCCTAGATTACACTATTTTCCTTTTCTATGAGATAACAGAAGCACTGCATCTGTTATTCTGAAGTCAGACAGTGCTACCACCAACTTGACAGATTAATTAAAAATCTACCTTGTAAGATTTGCCATTTCATATACTAGCTATCTCAATATTCTGAGATATTCTGGTCCCTGTGACTGGAGCTGATCAAGATGCTTACGTTCCTGTTTCATCTCAAATACAGTAATTTCCTTTTCTGTACACACAGTGTTTGATCCATATTCTCCTTTTTCAGAATTACTGAAAATTAGAGTTTTACTAACTTAATTTTTGTTGTCCTTAGGTCACACCTAGGATCCTCTCATTTTTTTCCCCAAGCATGCACAGGTCCTTTCCACATCATGTCACAAATTTGTTGTTTCTTTTACTTGCCTTTGCAAGATGTATCTTAGGCTGGCCTTAAATAATTCTTAATTAACTTTTACTGTTTTAACCCTCCTGCTCTACAGCACACAGCAACCCTTGCAGTGACCTGCTGCTTTCGTCTGGTGCAACCTGTGCTTTCTGAGCTACACCACTCTAAAGGGCCACTGACAGAATTGCTTTGGAGCCACCATAAAAGAGATGTCACAGGGTCTTGCCTGGGTTTAACATCAGCCATGTTCTAAACTATTAAGAATTAAATATATTCAACAACTGTGTGAAGATACGCCCTAAACCCTTCATTGAGATTCAAATGAAAGCATTTCTGCCAACAGCCCTGTTGCTCTGGGTCAGGAAGAAAGAAGCATTTTTCTTTCCTTGCCTATTTTACACATACACTTATTTTGTAGATTGTGTCTTTTGTATTTTTAGAAGTGAATGTTGCTAAGGCAACCAAATTAGCTGAACATTTATTGTAAGAACAATACATGTTTAAATATTCAGGCAATTTTCCATTGTTCGGCAGAAATGGTGAGATCAGTTAGATTATCCAGAGCAGATGAGTGGAGTTTAGGTTGGCCTTCTCTTACATGTAAAAGCCTTCAGTGTGCTGACAGCCATCCAACAGCTCTGTCCAAGCAGGAGAAATACACAGCAGACACATAGACACCTTCATAAATGGGGGAAATGTTTTCATTTATTTCCTTCTATTACACTCTCCACAATAAATTAAAGCATGTGGTATTTCCAGGTAGAGGAGTTACACTCAGCCCTGTATTGATACTGACACACAGCCTGCTCCTGCTCTGAAAGCACAGCATCAGATAACAACCGTATCTTACAGATCAGAAAGGACAAAGAAAAGATCTATCCACTTTATCACATCCTCCCCTCTTGCCAAATCCATGACTTTCGAGCACATTTCAAACATCTGGAAAAGATTAACATGGCAATATTGCAGCTGCTTGCTGATATGCCCAAAACTGGGCTGGTGATGGCATCCTGCATGTGACTCCCACCTGTATACAGCTCACCAGCCTTGCTGTCTGGCTGACTTTGCACCAGAGCAGATTCCAAAGGGGCTGGCACAGCCCATCCCACTGGCTGATATGTGATGGCAGGAACTCCCACATTGTAAGTGATGTTGAACAAAGTGCAGTGCTCATGCCCTGCCAGAAAACCACGCACTGAGACTGAGATACTTTGCAGTTGGCTTCTGACATGAATATTTTCTAGGGTGATCTTAATTAAGTGTGCTTAGTTTCACTTTTCCCTCTGGCATTGTGAGATGGCTAAAATGATAAAAACCTGAAGAAAATATGATTCTGGCTTTAAAATGTTTTTCAAAGACATGCCAAATACTATTATAATGCTGAAAACACCGAGGTGGGGGCGGGGGGAAGAGAACAAATAAAAGAGATTGAAAGTGTGAGAAGCAGTCAGCATGAGACACTGCAAAAGGCATAGAGGTACAAAACCCATGGCATAGTCAAGAAAGGGAATGATCCAGAAGCAGGGAGCATCCTGATACTAGAGGATGGAAAGCGCAGAGAGTCACAGTGGGAAGTTAAGTCAGGAATGCAGGACTGAAGTTGTCAGTGACAGCAGAGATGCTGCACAGTGGAGCAAGCACTCCTCCACTGAGTGACACACAGCACACGCCAGACTGATGAGTGTTACTACGAGATGGAGCTACTGATCCTTTCCAATATCTAGCTCTGGAAATGTGCTACTCCCTCTCCCTTCTAAATATCTTTCCAGGAGACAGGAGCAATAGAGAATTAACACTGGATTGCAAATCATCCCTCTGAAAAGAGAACTTAAGAAACTACTTGTTTTACATAATTTGGTAGTTTCTGTGTACATATTTATGCCCTTCTCTTCCTCTTTTTAAAAGTGAAGCACATCACCTAGAGCATTCATGTAGGTTGGCCTAATAACTAATCAGTGCAAAGAGGGTTATGCTGTTCAAAAAACTATGGGAAAGTTGTCTGGTTAATCAAGGCCAGATCCAAGCATACCAAACAGTAAAAGAGCTGTCCTGGGACTGCCAAAGATACTAGGTTGAAATGGCAGTGTTAGTTTTCAGGAAACTAGCTGGTTCTTGGAATGGTGGACAGCTAGGGAAAGTCTGGATAACTAGAAAAGGCCATGAATCCTGGGCTAGCTTGGAATCCATGGGCACTATCAAAGAACCATATAAGTCATAGAACTCCTAGCCTAAGACAAGCTAGTCTTTTTGGCTGTTTTCCAGCCACATCATTTTTCCTGAAAGACAAGGAAAAAAAGACAAAAAAGACAAGAAGACAAGATTAGATGTGGCCTGGGATTGATACATAAACTGCACCAAGGGAAATTTAGGTCAATGTTAGGAAAAAGCTTTTTACTGAAAGAGTAATAAAGTAGTGGAATCATCTGCCCAGGAGTTGGTGGAGTCACCATCCCTGGAGGTGTTTAAAACAACACTGTATGTGACACTTGGTGCTATGGTTTAGTTGAGGTGTTAGGGCATGGGTTGGAGTCGATGATCTTGAAGGTCTCTTCCAACCTTGTGATTCTGTGATATCACATCATGTGCAAATAAACTGCCAAAAGCATAGTTTGGGATGACTTCCTTTGTGTTTCTCCTCTACAGCCCTTACTCTTCCTGCAGACTGGACTGCCTACCTGACTATCTCCTCAAGCCCAGGACCTGGCCAGAATGGAGGACCTGTAAGAAGATCAAAGTCCAAACCAGGGCTCATGGCTGAGCAAGCTCTTTAGTCAGGGACAAGGGTCTAGCAGATGCTTAGGACTTGGTAAATGAAAAGACGGAACTTTTGGCAGAATGGCAGAAAAGGGGTCTAGGAATGGGCAGATTGCTGCACCCTAGCCTCACAGTTAGAGAGGTTGATGAGAGTCATGATCCTTCACACTGCAATACATCTGACTGCAAAAAAAAAAGGTGATATTTTCAACTTTTGCCCATGGTCTACTGAAACTTTGGTGCAATAAGGGCATGGAGCACCTGAGCTTAACATTCTCCTGGGGCAGCCAGTTGTAGGAGTGATGGAGGAGGAAAAAGAAGTGGAAATTGCAGCCTGGAGTGCACTGGGAAAGGATACCAAAAGGACAAGAAGCAGAGGGGAAATACAAGGTGTACTTGCTCTCAGTGCAACCTATTCTTGGAGGATCAGCAAACAACAGATTCTTTGTTTCATCGCTACTGATTCGTTAAATGTCAGTGTCTTTGCCCCTGCCAGGTGTTACCTATAAATAATTCTGTCACCCAACTACATCATGTGCCAAAAAAGGAAAGACTGAGATGAACAGGACCAAGACCCAGAAGGGATCACTTTAATTTAAGAAAGAGCACCTACTATGTAAATAATCAACTACTTGCTCACCACAGACACCCTCAGGAGAAAGAAAGGGGGAGGTCCCACAGCAGTACACAGTTGGACCAGAGCCAACACAAGAGTGCACCCACAGTACCAGCTGTGCCAGACATCTGCAGTGAGTCTTCCTGGGGCAAGAGCAAGAAGCCCAGGGATGCTGCTGCACAGTTCATTGCACGCTTCCCAGGACCTGGCCTAAGCCAGGATTAGTTTCAAGACCTGGCACTATCAGTGATATTACTCATATAATTTTGAGAAAATCACTTGCCCTCCATCTGTCTCAGTTTCTTCACCTGTGAAACAGAACCTGAGAGTGGCTTTGCAATGCGTGACTACTTTTCTGGCTCTGGCTTCTCTGCCTGCTCTACAGCTGTGGCATGGCAGTCTGCAGGTGGGTCTGCTTTCTGTAGCCTTAAGGGAAGCAGCTTTTGATGTAAGAGACTGTGGCTGTATGAATATATGAGCAGAGCAGTCAGTGCTGCTGTTATTGTTACAGACAGCAGTAGTGGCTGATACAGCTTCTCTGAAAATGTGATTATGTCCCAGAGAAGGCAGCTGGTGCAGATATGGAAGCAATGCACACCTACCACTTTCAAATCCTATTTGTATTCATAAATGTGAACTCACTGCGAGGTGTTTTACTCCTACCTTTCATTAGCCAGGTAAAATACCCTCTCTAAACATCCCATAAAAATATCTGAATAGCTCTTTTATGATGACTCCCCAGTGTAGGCACCCCCTGACCAGACTGTGTGAGTGCTCCACCTAACCTGGAAGAATAACCTCTGTCACAAACAGCAGAAGAGATATTTTACATAAAGGAGCAACCAGAAATTGCATTGAGGATAGCTACTGCTCTGCACAGAACAGTGAGCCTCTCATATGATTTTTATTATCAATTTTCTGAGGACTGCTGCTTTATATTCAGTTGATATAATAAACACAGCTGTGGTCTTAGGGGGTTGTATGGATGAGATTACTTGCTCTTTTTTTACACACTTGGCCTCCCAGCTACTGTTCTTATTAAGCATTTAGGGAACAGGGGGGAGGGGACCAGGAGAAAAGGGGATAAAACAGCAAAGATGGAAGCAGATGCTCATGTTAGTCTCATGAAGAAGCTGATCAGATTTTCTTTCTACACTGTAACTTGAATTTTGCCATGCAAAAGGAAGAAATTTAAAATAAAATTGTGACCCTCTTGTTCTCACCAACAGAGCAATCTATCTGCAACTCACATTTTAAAAAACGTTGCTTACGCAAACATGAATGATAAGGTTTTAAAGAGTAAGGGAAAGGGAGGTTTGGATTTTACTCCAAATTTCACTTGTTCCTCACTACTCGGACATGCTCCTGATTTCAGTGCCATGAGTAAGAGGTGTTACATAACTATGCAAAATGCCAGAGATGTGGGGGCATGAATCCTGTCGGGGCTCAGGTATTAGACTATGACTCTGAAAATATTGCCATGATTTCCATAGCAAATCCACTGAGTCATGGAAATGTTAGGGATTATTCACACTTTGGGAGGAGCCAAGAAAATGCAGATCTGGAAGGAGAGGTTTTGTGTGATCCAGCTTCTGCTTAAGGCAAGAAGGGAACACTTTCTGATCTATCTGCAAATAGCCTAGGTGTCCTTTCAACTAATTGCACACCATGAACAAAAGTTTTTATAGACCCTGCCCCCACTATCCTAAGCACTTGTGTACAAGGATGCCTTTAGTATATTCAACCAGCTTGGCACTCCTGCAGCTCTTTTGTACTACACAAATGCAGAGAATTGGCAGCATATTCATCCTTTACATTGGCCAAGCAGACTGGAACCTCTTGACAGCAGGCCCAGGGCTGAGGACACTGAGAGACGAGAGGAGGATCTGCATGAGTGAGGGGATCTCCACACAGGCTTGAACAAGCAGCTGCTTGCTTTGATTTCAGAGTGATGATAATCTTCCAAATGGCATCTTAGAGCTCAGCTGCTGCAACACTGTTTTTGGAATCAAATTACTAGAAAGGTCAAAATTGTTAACATGTGCTTTAGGAAGAGGGAAAATACCAGGCAAAACCTGTAAGCTTCCACTGCTGAAAAATATCCCCTGGACTAGCAGATGCTAGTATTTTCTTCCTTTCACTGTAGGCAGAAGGCTGTCCTCTCACCAAGGGAACAGAGAAGGAGGTCATTCTGCTTGGAGTTCTTTCAAAAATGTGCAAGGAGGCGGAGACCCTTGTGACTTTTTCATAATTTAAAAGGCATAAAACAGTGTTAGAGGGAGTGAATGAATAGATTATGTTCCTCTTATTTGACATGCCCCTAACCTGTGCACTCCCTGTAGGGCCTCTTTGGCACTGTTGAGCATGGTTGTTCTAGTGTTAAAAATGTATATACTTATTATTGATCCTACATCCAGCAGGAGAAAACTACTGTGGAGTTGGTGCTACAGCCAAAGGACAAGACCTAAGAAGAGAATTTAACTCATGCCTCCATTACACGTGTTGGGCATAAGCATAATAATGACTACACTACAGTTCTTCTTCAACAAGAAGTATTAAAAAATAAGAGGAAAAAAAAGCAGACAAAGGCCTCCACAATGTTTGAGCTACAGCTTTGTCTTTCTTGTTTACCGGACACTTCTGTGAAGCCATCTGAAGACACCTGATGCCTCAGCATTGCAGTAATCATCAAGGTAGCTGTGAGACCTGGGCAATGTATTTTCCTTTTGAAAGCATTCAATGAAAAGTTAAAAACATCTGTTGAGGAACAGCATAGAGTTCCTAATGGAGGTTTATTTTGGATGCATAATGGACACTTTGCCTCTTTGAGCTGGGCCTCACTGATTAAAAAACCCAATCTTATATTCTCCAGAATATGGCTAAGGCAACACTGAACACAAGGAAGAGACTGTGCTCAGCCTGTGTTCTCTGCCCCAAATTTTGAAGTTTATCAAGACAAACAGTGTACACACAGGCCTCTCTCCCACTGATGCATTCAACCATCTCTTCCCATGCAAGTTAACTACCTCTACATTCCATACCCCAGTGGTGCTTTAATATCTATCCCAGATACATAATAGGATTCACCTTGATATGACAGTGTTAGAGTCTCTAAAGTAATTTGGCCCATGAAAAATCATTTTTCTAATCCCTGAGAATGTCATGTGTATTAGCTGCAGCCTTTCTGGTGTGAATTCTCCAGAGTGGATTCAATTTCACACAAGTCCTAGCAAGACAGACCATCCTAGGCTAGGAATTCATACCCTTCACAGCCTTTAATCTTCAGAGAGACAAGCAACCACTGGTCTGTCTATAGCACTCACCTTTAAATCTATATGTAATTTTTCCTTCCTAGAGCAGAGAGGTTCAATCTGGGAATTTGGAGGTCAAACGCTTTAAACTGTCTTGCCCTATCTCCCTTTCATATTTGAACATGTTTATGTACAGCACTACTTGTTCACATAAAGTCTTCACCTTCACCTGCATTATTAAGTTAAGCTTTTCCATAGCATTATTCCTCATCCATTTCCATTTGACCCACAAAATCCTGTCACCTGAGTTTAATGATCCATTGAACTTGGCTTAGGTTCAGGTTGTTAGCCATTGTGCTCAGAACTGTTAGTCTTCCAGCGCTTTCCCATAACTTCCCTTGAGCTGCATATTCCTGGCCAGCTACCTGCTAATGAATTCTACACTAGAACTGACTCCTCACCCAGAGAGTACATAGCAGGCTTAAATCCACCTCAGTGCAGCCTGACAGTCAGGAGGTATTTGCAGTATTTCCATGGCGACAAGCAGACCAGGCTCTCTGGGGTGCTGCAGGGCTGGGAGATGGGAGGTGCTCACAGGAGCCCTCCAGCCTCCCCTGAGCCAGCACCGAAGGACGTGCTCCAGTACAGCTGTGCACATGCATTGCTGTGGCCTAGCTGAATCTGGCCCAAGGTCATGAACAGCAAAAAGGTATCTCTCATGGCTTTTACTGTTCTGAGAGTTCACCTTTGCTGTATGCTTTGCATGCCCCTTGTTTCAGTTGCAACATGATTATTCTTATTGCAGACCACTGTTTCACAGTCTTTTTTTTTTTTTTTAATTCCTGCTTTGCATTGCAGCATTGGTTAAAATACTGCGACTGCAATAAAGTATTTTGGTTAACAGCTGAATAAATGCTTGAAGACATGAATAATTATCCTAATTTATTCTATTAACCCCACACACAAAATTTAAAGACTAGCAAGCATCCCCACTGGAGAAAATATTTCAGAAACAGAAAGCACTAGGGAAGATGTTGCTCTGTGCTCAAGAAAGACAATTCAGGAAGGTTGTATAGAGATCATATTTAGTTTGCTTTTAATGTTTTGAAAGGGGAGAATTTTTAAACTTTCAGAAATGGGTATCTGCCTCAGGACAGTGCCTCCTTGACTCCACTTCCTCCAATGAAGAACTGTCATTCTTTAGACCTGCACAGTTGTTTGGACCAGATTGAAATAGCTGCAGTCATGATCTTGCTCTCACATTTCCCCATTACCACCAATTTCTTAGTACTTTTGGGGGCGGTGGAAGGATTGTGTCCACCTGATGATGAGGCCAGGACTTTGTGCAGATATGGTGAAAAATACAAATCCTCTGCTCCTCTTTTCTCTCTGGGGACTTTGGCATCCAGCAAGTCCATGCAGAATTTCCTCAAGGAATGGAAAGGGCTCAGAAATGAAAGAGCTGGCTTCAGGCCAACACTTGGTCCTTCAGGGAAACTCCTGAGATGCCCTATATGTGAAATGAATTGCAGACCTCTGCCTCTGAGGGAATTAGAGTTAATAGCTTAATGTTCTCAACAAGAAGGGAAAAAAAAAAAAAAAAGGAGCCATGCAGGCATTTTGAACCTTCTTGCTGCTAGGCTGTGCATTTCCTTCTTAAGGCAGTTTCAGGAGAGATGGTTGTTAGGGAAAGGGAGTAGGATCCCATTCTGTATGCAGATTTCAGTCCTGAATTGAATGTCTTACGGTCTCATGATGCCAGGGCAACAGCAGCAGTATCTGGCCAGTCCTTTTGCAGTGATCATCAGATGACCTTGAGATTTACCCAACCAGGGCAGTACAGTTTCTATAAATATTACATTTTCCAGGATCGTATTCTCAGGCTGTACCAGAGACAATCCCAGTGAAGAATTAATTCAGTTGGGCATGCCTTTCATTCCTTCTTATCCCTTCCCTCTCCCCCAGCACTGGCCCTCCCTTACTCTGGGTTGTAAAAGAAGCCTCCAAGATTTATCTTTTAGCATGGACCTTCTGAGCTATCTAATGATGAAGACAGGAAGAGGCTGCTACCAGACAGTGGAAAAAAGCCCCTTTTGCTAGCAGGGAAATGTGTGAGTAATATACACACTGTTGGACGGTGGCCAAATCACTCTAGTAATGGCTGTTAGCTCCCTCATGAAGAAAATGATCAAATGAGAAAGAGGAGCTGCAGCCGGGTGTCAGAAATGCTGAGTCGCAGCGGGAGAGTGCCACATCCCATGGAAATTTACCCAGGAGCCAGTGACCTTCACACGCCGGGGACAAGGACCTAGGGCTTGTAGGAAAATCCTACCATCACTCACGCACTGTTGTGCTGCCTCCACGTCACCACCCAGGCACAGCACAGCCTGGAAAAGCAGACCAGGAGAGTAGCTCCAAGGCAGAGTGGGTTGCCAGGACAGGCTCCATGGCATGAAACAGGGCACTGCTCTCCATAGTGTGCAAGGATGTCTGGCCCCACAGCACTGCCTAGTCCTCGGGGATTACTTGCCTCAGGTAAATAATTGCTGCTCATCTGGCTCCTCCACTGCTGCTTTGGATGCATGGATTTGAAGTGAGACAGCTGGGTCCAGCTGACCTGTACCTGGGACTGCCACAACAGGAGACAGCAGGCAGCAGAAGTGACTCCACCACTCCCTGCTTTTAGGGCTGTGCCTTGGGTCAAGGTAGAGCTTCACCACTGCATGCACTGTAGCAATTTTCACATGATTTCAGGCCCATATTGGAAGCAGAATGCAGGAATACTTTGGCTTCATCCTTGTCGGAGGATCTCAGGTTTGGGATATCACCAGAACATCTCATCCTCTCTCCCACATGCTGGGGCATAATCAATGGTTTTCCTGCAAGTTCTCAGCCTCTCCCTGCAAGACAATGAGAAGTGGGGGATGATGTGCAGTTATGCCAGAGGACAAAGGATATAAGACAGTAAGTAAGAGTTGTAGCTGAAAACAGAGGATAACTACTTGCATTGAGCTCAAAGATGGAAAAAGGAGGAGAAAGAAGTAGCTGGTGCTGTAATGATAGGGATGCTGGCTAGATGGTGCTAGCACATGCTCCTGTGCTTTCATCATGAACTAGTACATTATTGCTGCTTTTCCTTTAGACAGAGGTTTCATTTCCATTGCAAGAGCTGAAGAAACTACTGTCTGCTGATGGTATTGCTAATAGAGAACTGGTAGTCCCCAATGGAGTTCTTGTTCGAGTCAAAGATGAAGGGCTCTTGGAATATGAGAAAGACAAAGCTTTCTTTGCAGCACTGGGGAATGATAAGCAGCTGTCTCAACCCAATAGTCCCGTGTTGGCTAAACATGACACAAAATATAATATCTGCCTGATGTCATCCCTGAACTCACACCTTCTCATGCTGTGCTACAGAAACTCGTTCTTAATCCTCTGGACTATACTGGATTAAGTTCTCCTGGCTGTGCCGACAGAGCCGTCTCCAGTCACCAAGGCAACAGCAGGCTCCTCAGCCCCTGCAAAATGCGTATCCACGTGGTGAGGTGAAGATCCTGGCTCCAGCACACCCAGTCCTGCAAGCCACACACTTTTCATATGTATATTGTGCTTTTTATTTGGCGCTGCATTCTGCTTGTGGCAGAGCATCTGTACGGCTCTTCAGAAGATGCAGGACCAGGTAGGAGAGATCCTGTGCCTGCTGTGCTGAAAAGCAGCGGGCTTCTGGGACACCTGCTGGTGGACTGGTACTTGACACACAAGGTCCTGAGAAATTCAGGCCTACACAAGGACTATTTCCAAACTGCAGAATTTGGATTAAATGTCTCCTACTTCTCTTAGTGAATATCGGTGATGAACAACAAAGACTGAGGGTAAATCAGATCTTGAATATATGTTCAGACCTAAAACAGCCTATATATTATCGCTTACACAGAGCCCAGCCACCACTAGAGGGAACAGAAGCTCAGAGTGAATGACAAAATTACAAGATTGCTCTCTAAAATTAATGCAGTCAATGGGAAAATACTAGCAGACCTTCTCCATTATAACTGGAAATGAAATGTAGACATCTCCTGACCTGGTAAGAAGAGGAAGTGACAACAGCAAATGGAGAGCAAGTAGGGGTTTTGTATCTTTGTCTGTCCTCCAAGCCTCATCTCCAACTCCTGCAGGCAGAGGATTAAAAGTGGACACTTTACATCCAAGTCTTCTTGAAGCTGTTGATAGAAAATTAAGCAAAGCTACAGGTTAGGATAGCATATATTTTGTGGAAAAGAGGATATCACCTCTTTTGTGTGCATCAAAAAGAGCTTACAAACATCACAAACCCTCTCTTTGCAATGGCATATGTTGCACATGGAAGCAGAACCAGATGGGTTAGCTGTCCTGGGCTCACTCCTGGGTGCTCTGTGAACATATAGCTCTGCTCTGTGCTGCACTGTCCAGCCGGCCTTGCCACGCATGACAGTGGAAAAAGATCAGTTCCAATATGATTAGGTAGAAAGTGGAAGTCAAGTTTTTTCCAAGAGGTTAGAAATAGCCTCAACTTCAGCAGCAAGTTATCCAGAACTGAGAGAAATGGGAACTAGCAATTGAGGCTAAGCAGGACACATCCCTGGAAGTCCTTGCCTGTCCTCAGGGTTAGAAAGGAAAGGGTTTCACCAATCCCTGGCTGCTCCTTCAGAGCTGCTCATGCTGCCATAGGTATCCTTTGGTACATGCTGGGACAAGAGCAGGGTGCCTTGCCAGGTACCCTGTTCCAGGCACTTCACAGCAGCTCTCCGGCTGGCTGATGGTGCAGAGCAGTCAGGAGCCAAAATGGATATAGGGCAGAGTAGTACTCACATAGTAATTCTTCCTGAAGTTTAAGGTCAGCTGAATACTAGTGTAGGAAGGAATTGCACTCTTACTGTCTCTTGAGTCAGTCATTTCAGTTTATGTTTGAGTCTTCCCTGTCCTAGCTCAAGCATTTATATGCCTTCATCCTCTGTTTTGCTATGTCAGGTACACTGACTTCCAAAGACTTGCTCCTGATTCACATTGCTACAATCACAAGGAGAAGAAGGACTCCACATTATTGTTCCCAAGAACAAATCCTGAAGGTCTCTTAATCTGTGAAGTGGCTACAGGGAAATTTGTAGTAGAAACAGTCCCATTACTGTCTTTTGTCCACATGACTTATTTTGATCCTGTTAACTGTGACTAACAGTATTTCCTAAGAAATACACTTTTTGTTCCTGCCTCCTCCTTATGCACAAGTTTTCCTCTAATTCCTGTTGATGCTACTGTGCCTGGCACAGAGTGAACCATTTCCCCTCATTCCCACAAGCAAATCCAATGCAGCCCTGTGCAGCAGGTATCAAGAACCACCTGGTCACACTGAAGTGAGAGACTCAGTCCAGAGGCCCTCAGCTGAGCAGCAGCCATAACACAACTCCAAAGGTAGCTCATCTATGTGGTTCTTTTCTGGCCTCTCTTTTCCCCTGGAAGAAGAGGAAAACCTTGGTATAAGTATGGCCACAGTCACCATGGCTGCCTGGCACAGAAATCAATGGAAGGGCATGAAATCTAGCCCAATCCCTGTCATGGCACTTCTCAGGTGGGAAGTTGCCAGTAAGAAGTGCTTCTGTCCTACAGCTCTCTTCCCTCTGATGTTACAAAACCAAAGTGGCTGTGGACTGCAATGTGATGGTCAGTGAACCTCAACAAGTCATGAGATGGTTCAAGCAGTGGAGACTGGTAATTAAGCATTAACAAACATTAGTCAAAAGTACAACAAAAGAGGATATCAGAGAGCAGCAAAACAGGATTCTGCTGCAATGCTCCAGTGAGGTACAGAATTTGTCACACCTTTCATGGCAAACTGCTCTCCCTTCCTATTCTGAATAAATCCTGTCCCCTCTCCAAAAGATTTCTCTTTGCAAAGAAACAACAGGGGTGAGGTTTACACAAGGGAAATTCTTAAGCATGAAATGCAGAATAAAAAACACAACATCAGTCTGAAAAGTCCAGTAATCCATTATCATAAGCTTATATGAGCTACATTTTCCATGTTTCTAAAACACAACCAAAGTAGCTAAAACATCTCTTATGTGGCAGGAATCCAGAGAAAGAGGCAAGCCAAATCAAGCCTGGGCATTTCTCCAGCAGAATGGGTTTGCTTCAAAAGCTGGAGTGAACTTAAAACTTTAAGGGGGAACAAGAGGCCAGCTTTATATGCTGTTTTGTCAACCATACATTGATTTCTAAGCTGATGAGAAGTTCCTGTCATCAGATTAATACTCCACCATTAGGCTATAGTTTCCTACATAGGAATGATAACATTTAAGCAACAAGAGCAAGTTTCATCATTCCATCAAACATCATGGCTGACACTTGCTATTTCCAGTATACTCTCTGCTCCACACACAGGGTAAATTTCCCCCCATGAGAGTAACTACTATTTACTTAGCAGGAGCCTAAGGGAGAAAGAAGAGAGGATTGTTTCTACAAATGAAGAATGCTTGCGAAACTTCTAAGACAGACTGTTACTAGCATCTGGCAAGAAGTGGCACAGACAGTCTCTATTCTTGTGGAAAATAGTTCAGTAGGGAGTTCATTTCTTGTCCCACCTGAAAACTGTAATTTCCACCAGTACTAGACCATCTTATATGTGGTTGCTGATCCACTTGGAATTTGCTAAATCCCTTGAGACACTCCCAGCCATTTTGTTACTCCAGTCACTGATGGGTAGAGCTAGTTGGAAGATGCTGTAAAGGAAGATCAACTAGTAGCCATCTTATCAGTATTGGGTTACTCTTTCTTATTAGTGTTTTGCCATGCCTTGTTCATACAGATAACTGGTGGCAGATGTAAAACAAGTGAGAAGAAAAAGAGGTCTTAAAAATATAGATTTTTTTTCCTCTGAGCACACTTAGACAAAAGATAGGGTTTCAGAGATCTTGTAGTGCTTTTAGGACAGAGACAGGGAGAGGGACAAGTCATTTTAGGGAAGCTTTGTAAAGCCAAGTAATCCCAGCTTTAGTGATCTGCAGTGCGTATGTTGCATTGAGCAGGATAAAGGGGAAATGGGCTACAAGCCTGCTTGTATCAAGCAAGTGCAGATAGAAGAGCTATTCACAACCCAAAAACATTGTTGTGACATTTAACCTTGCTCTGCTGACAGCCTCAGTGAAGGCAGCAAGAATTGATTCAGTTTGGAGACTGAACTCCATAAAGGGAGTAGGAGCACTAAGAAACTAAGAAAGAGGGGTGGAGTGTAACGAAAAAAAAAATGAAATTGTTCTTCTCTTCTGAAATTGGTAGACTGCTCCCCTGGTGCCTCCCCTCCTCCTTAGCAGCTGCCCCTTGTTTCAATGTATTAAAATCATGATAATAAATCTATCCAGAAAAGACATTTTCACAGTGTCTAAAATACAAAGAGTGTTCACATCAACAAAAATCAGATTTTTGAATTGGCTATTCTTACTTCACAGATTACATTGCCCACAAGTTTTTAAAATAACCTTGTGTAGAATTTATGTTGTTTTTTTGGGAAAGTAAAGAGGAAAAATTACTAACCCGGAAACCTGGCTCAGACCCCAAACATGTCCCTTTAACCAGCTGTTGTATCCACAGATGTTTGTCCTTTTTTGGGGTGCACTGCAGGGCAAACACTGAAGATTTTATCCAGGAATAATCTGGGGACTTTTTAAATGCAAGAATACTGAAGGAAAATTTGTATTAGGAATGTTGTTTGAAATAGAGACTGAGAAATAATGGGCTGCATCCCTATATAGTACTGCACATAATCATACAAAAGATACTGAGTCCAGAAAGTCCTGTGGAAAACTGTTCTGAATTTGTACACACTGCATGCTCCACAACATTTCAGAATGGCCTGTTTATACAGCAAAATACCTAATGGCCCATAACTAAGTTAAAAGACAGCACTATAATGGGCCACAGAAAAAAATAACAGGAGAAAGGAGAATTCCTGGGAGTGTCCAAGGTCCCTGAAATAGATGGGATTTTGCTATGGAAATTCCTAGCTGTTAGCATGTGAAAGAGGTGAAGCAGGACTGTGAAGGAGTGAGTCTACATGGCATATGAAGTGCTTGGGTATCAGATCCAGATTCAGAGATATGGAAAAGAAATCCCACTTTTAGGGACAAGACTTGCTGAAAGAGAGGGCATGACATTGGCAAAATGGTAGCAGAAAAGGAAGACAAGAGGGAGAGGAGGTACGGAGAATGGGAATGGCTAAAAACAGGGAAAGTAATGGTGGTGAACTGCTGGGGTTTTTAAAAATGCCAGTTTTGTTATAAACTCAGTCCACGACCTTGATGACAGGTAAACTTTCCATGCTTTTCCTCAGATTCCCATGTCTGTAAAATATCTGCAATATTTCTATACCTCAAGATTCTTACTTGGAAAGTGCCAGAAAGCTATTAAATATACAGTGTAAAAAAGTATCAATTAGGCATAAAAGGAAAAAACCAACTCAAAAAATAATCACTGGTATCTATGGAAAAATGTCATTTTGGGTGCCATAAAGAGCTATGCCATTTATATTCTTAAAAGGGGGCATGGCTGAGAAAAGCAGCACTCTCTTCTTATTACCACTGAGGTCCCAGTAGACCTTCCTACTGAAAGAACACTCTGTAAACAAATAAATGCTGATGTGACTGTGATAGTGATTGATGAAGTAAGATCAGGACCTCATTGTGTTCAGCACTGTGAACACCTAATAATCCTTACTTGAGAGCCTCATATTCAGACTGCAAGCAAAAGAATAAAGGATAGAGTAAGCTGGTAAGAGATGAATACGCAGCAACGAAATTTCTTTTTCTGACTGGGTTTATCTTGGTGAAAAGATAAGTGATCCCATCATCCTGGCCTCATGTTTATAGGAATCTGGATCTGTGTACTGTGTATGAAAGAAGCCAGCAGTTCTCTGGTGTGGAGGGCAGAGGCTATATCAGGGAATTCACTTATCAGCAACTATATGCAAATAATTACCCCTGCAGTGGATGACACCAAAGAAGGAATTTTGGCAACATCCTCTCCAGGATTTTGCTGTTCCTCAGGGAATCTTCTGGCTAAGTGAAGGGCACTTACGAGGTACATTATTTCATTATTTCTGCAGCTTGGGCACTCTTTTGCCTGCAGCACTGCAGGGATCCTACCATGCAGCTTGGGATTTTGCCAGTCAGCTCACTAGATTACTGGAGCGAAGCAATGAAGAAAATGCAGCAAAAATGCTGATTGTACTACAGTCTGGGAGAAATTCTTTTTGTATTCAACTCATGGCAAAGCCTCTTACAACATCATAAATTCTCTGTAGCAGCAAGAGAGGGACAAGGGAGAGAAGCCTGCTGTCTCTGTTTTTCCTGCACAGTCTATTCTCAGCACTGTGCGTCACGCTCGCCTTCATCACTCTCCATCACTTCAGCACAGTTCAGGAAGATTCTGACATCTGGGTCTGCATTGTTATGAGCTAGCAAAGGCCTTTTCCACCACAGTCCAGAGATCACAGTCCAAAAGCCAGAGAGAGTTTTTTGCTGTCAAACTACATGTTTTTGCTCTGAGTAAATGTGACAGAATAAATAGAGAGCCCCCATAGTGCCAATATTAAAAACACTTTTCAGAGTACAATAGCACTTTAAATGAGGAAAAAATGACACAGGGCTCTTGGAAAAAATAAAAACAAACGTAAATGTCAAATTCAGTTAATGTCAGGAAATTGTATATTGAGAGAGATGAGTTCATAGCAGTTAATATAGCCACTCGCTAAGAAACAGCTTTTTGTTTTCTGCTGAATAGTTGGTAGTTTTTTTTTTTCCCCGCCTTCTCCCACAATAACACAAAACTGTGAGTTCACCTGTGAAAAGACAGAGAGCAAGAATATGGGTATTTGCTTGGGGTTGCAATACATCAAATGTCAAATCCACAATGAGACAGTAACTTAACAACTGAGTTTACAGCATTAGGCCAGAAATACTAAAAATGAGCAGAAGGCCAAACAAGAATATGAAGAGACAAAGTAATTTGTTTAAGGATTCAGAACAGTAGAGTGGCAGAGCTATCTTGAGCTATGACTAAACCCAGTGTGTCAAGATTTATTAACTCAGGATTCCAGGATTTACTAAACCAGCAACTCCTGCTGAACTGTTGATATTCTGAAGATTAGGTTTAAATACATGATAATATTGTTGGAAGAACAAAATAAAAAGGGTTTTGGACAATTCACACAGTTCTTTTACTGAGTGCAAGGTTGCCATCTGGAGAGCTGCAGCACTACTGGGCTAGGGACACTGATAGTTTCAAAGGCAATTAGTGTAACCCATTCCTGACATGAAAGAACACTGGTGCACTCCTTTTAATTGCTGGGTTTTGGATTCATCATAAAAATAATGAGGTGAGAGCTGGGAAATGTGTCTGATATAGTCTGGGAAACACTCTGACTTTCATTGCACATGTGGCATGCAGCTGCATCCATGTTACTAAGCATTCTAATGGCACAGAAACAGGACATGCCTCCTAAAGTGAAAAATATACTATTTTCAATGTCATGCTTTGAAGGGTATAGTGATAAAAAGAGCTACAGAGCAACGATTGCTCAAGTAGCAGAGTAACAACAGCTTTGATTCTGTTACCAAGTTCCTCTGGTCACAAAGATATTACATTACACTTGTATAACTCATGCTTTCTGTCTGCAGGTGGAAAAATGACAAGCTGTGCATTCTCCATCCCTGGAGATATTCAAGACTGGATAAAGCTATGAGCAATCTGGTCAGATCTTCAGCCAACCCTGATTTGAACAAGAGGTTGATCCAGAAACCTCCAGAGGTGTCTTCCAACCAGAACTATGCTGTGCCCATTGCAACTTAAGGATGGTGTGGTGTTGCCTCCGTGCTTAGCAGAATAGCAACTTCTGGCCTTTATTTCATGGCCAGAGACAAGTATCTCATCTCTGCTGAAGAAAACTCTGTCATTTTTCATGCTTCACCAGCAAGAATTGCTGGGTATGGCTACAGAAGCAGCTCAATCCCATAGTGCAAGACTGATCCACAAGCATTTCCAGTTAGCTTAAATCATGAGCTCCTAAACCAATGAGTGCTGACACATTGCATTGTGAGGAGATAAATTGTGGCTGAGCATTTAAGTGATGAACAGAAATTTCTCTTAATCTTGTCATATTCCCTTGAAGCCAGTCATGAGTTACAACACAGACTAATCCCTACTGCCTGTCATGCCTCACCTTATGAATAACCCAAACATACAACTTTGCTTCCAGAGATTTTTTTAGAGTTCTGTTGATTCTTTTTTGTTCTTTCCATGTCTATCTTTCCATTTACTGGCAAGTATTTTATCTTTATTTATGCCTATAAATCACATGACACCAAGGTTATGCACTCTCAAGGCTACTCCTCCGCGCAACCTTTTCTCATGATGAACAGTAGTTATAAGTGCACTAAAGGTGAGAAGAGACACAGGGAGCATGCTGACCTAATAAAGTTGTTGGAGCTCTCAGTGCAATAAAATAAGATAGAATGTAGCACAAAGAAAAGGATACATTATTCTGTCGATGTAGTTGGCAAACCATGGGAATTTGATGTGATAAGAAAAGCTTAATAACTTTGTGGGCACCTTCCTGCTTCTCAGTGAGCACAGTTACTGCTGGTGCCTAGTGTGGTGTCAGGCACACCACCAAAACACAGTGCTTACACAAACATGCCCTGCCATGTGGATTGGCATAAGGCTCAGTAAGCTGTGTTGTGCAAAGGCAAATGTTTGAAGCTTGAGAGGCTCAGAAACTTCATGGCTCAAGCATATATAGAGTAGGTAGCAAAATCATGTTTCAGGGGCTCTCAGTTACGCTTCCTGTGGAGATGAGCAGGAGCTGTTTTGGCCCAGCCTCCCAGAGAGGTTAAATTAATTGTAAACAATGTGGAGCAGTACTGGTCTTTGTAACTGCTTGCAAGAGCAAGGGGATGGAGAAAAGTACACCATGGATCAGAACTGATCATGGCAGTGCAGAACTACTGCAAAAAAAGGGCATCACCTTATCCTTAAGGACTTGCAGGGGCAGCTTTTGTGAACATCAGAGTAAAAAAAAAAAAAAGCTGTGCCTTGACAGAATGGTGCAGAATGGGTTAAGTAAACACATTTTTGATAATATGCAAACTGTATCTGAGCCTGGGCCATGTCAAACCTGCCTGGCACACTCTCTGAAATAGCTCATCACCCAGTTGAACTGCGGGACTATAAGGATCTTCATTACCTGACTGTTGTTATAAATGAGAATTTATTCAGCCAGGGGTCGGCTCTGGGTGAGCAACAAGGAGTCTGCCTCAGCAGAGGCTTTCCCCCATGCCCACACACCTCCATCCTGTTACAAGCTGTTTTTATAGGGAAAATTCCACCTGAGGCCAAGATTTCAGTAATCAGTATTTTCTTCTATTCAGAGTCGATATGTTAATAAGATTCTCTTTTTTTGGTGATGAGGGAGAACAATTCAGTGTCTGGAGTTCCGTTTAATCCCTTGATGAAATTTACGGGAAGGCTGCATTCACATGTATCTGCCCAAGGATTTCTATGATATCCATCTTGGGTCATTTATGCCATGATCAGCACCTGGGGTTTCCGTATCTCCCCAGACATGGCCCATCTCCTGGCGAGTTGTACGTTCTTACTTGTAAATCAGTTTCTAATATACACCCAGTCTTGCCTGAGAGGGTGGGGGGGAAATCCTAATACAAATGTGTATACTCTAAAAATATTCAATATCACATATATCATATTAGAAATGGTGCGAATTATATCTACTACACATAACAATTGTGAACTCTCAAGACTTTATTTTGACACTGTTATAAATGAAAATTTGTCCAGCCAAATTAAAATGAAAAAATAAATTATTTATTTTACAATGAAATTCTATCTAGCCAGCCACAAGGAAAGAACAGAGCTGAGCCCGGGGTCGGCCCTGGGTGTGCAACAAAGAGGTCAGCCTCAGCAGAGGTTTTCCTCTGTGCCCACACACCTCCATCCTGGCACAAGTGGTTTTTATAGGGAAAATTCCACCTGAAGCCAAGATTTCGGCAGTCAGTCTTTTCTTCCATTCAGAGTCCACAGGTTAATAAGATTTTCTTTTTTGGTGATGAAGAAGAACAATTCAGTGTCTGGAGTTGGTGAATCCCTTGATGAAATTTACAGGAATGCTGCATTCACGTGTATCTGCCCAAGGATTTCCATGATATCCATCTCGGGTCATTTACGCCATGATCGGTGCATCTCTCCAGACATGGCCCATCCCCATCTCCTTGCCAGCCACATCCTTTTACGTGTAAATCGGGTTTCAACATACACCAGATCTTGCCTGCGAGGGTGGGGGGAGTCCTAATACAAACGTGTATGCTCCAACAAATATTCAATATCACATATATCACACTAGAAATGGCACGAATTATATCTACTACACATAACAACACAAAGAAGACTACACAAAGAAAGAACAAACCTGGAATAAAACACCATGAGCTCTGAGTGTCCCTACTCAGCATTCACTTTGCACGGGCCTGAAAGGTCATGCAGAGATAGGGTCCTTTGCATGTAAAGCTAAGATACTTTTAAGTCACATTTTCAGCTCTTTCTCCCCTTGTCTACCTCAGAAAAAAACTGGCTTTGGTTCAACCCATTCCCATGACCATCAAGTGAATTACAGCTACTGCCATTCCCACATAAAAGATCACTTCAGCCCTGACCTCAGACTTACCCCATGGGTCTGTGCAGAGTTATTATGAGTGATTAGTTCAGATCTTTCCCTCCAGCATTTCACAGTGATGCTATGAACTGTTGGTCATAGACTATGTTGGAGAAAGCCATGTGGGAACTTTCTAAAGATACCAAAATTCACTGAAGGTGAAACCCACTCTCCATCCACAACAGAGGGTTTTGCATGACAAGCATCACAGCTGATCTCTTAACACTGCCCAGTCAGACACCTACAGTCACACCCCTGGAAAACCATATTAAGCCCCAGGTTAGTAGTCCATGGATTTTTAAAATGCTCCATCTGTCTGCCAGTGCTAAACAGTGTCCCATGGTTTAAACTGAAATAAAAGTAACCAATCCTTACATGGAAACAGGCTTTGTGTTGGACTTTCAAAATTTAAAAAATGGGGCTGGGGCCTCTGTTGTACCTTTTTTCAGATTATAAAGAGGACCTCAATAATACTTTGATTGATCTTGTAAATTCTACTTTTAAATGTAACATTTTCCCTCTCTATTTTATCTTGCCAGACTTTCTCAATGCTTCAAAAATCATCTGAAGCTACACATTTTGAGACCAAACTTAAAACAAGTTGGAAGACAGAAAGGGTAATTTACCATATACAAAATTCCTTATGTAGTAAGTATAGTAGCAATTGCACTCGAATGTTTAATGAGACCACTGGCTAAAAAGTCTCTTTCTGGAGGAGTCATAAAGTTTTAGAACATTTCTGTCTGTGCTGATCTGGTGATGACTGCTCTTCCAAGAAAGGTCTACAGCTGTATCAGATGGGAAACAACCAAAGCACAGAGATAGCCAGGTGTGAATTTAGCTCAAAGACTAAATATAGCTATTATATTATTATTTAATATAAACTTTTATATTAAAGCCCACATACACAGGTGTGTGTATGTGTGATGAAAAGGGGATTAAGTTTTTCAGCTTGACTTACAAAAAGGTTGTGGCAAAATGCTACTTGCAAATCTGTGAGCAGCTTCAGCACTGACTCAACCTGAAGCATCTAGCTCTCTCCTGAATCAATGTCCCCTGAATTTCCTGTATCCTAAAATCTTTTAAAATTTCTTTTGGCAACTTCACCTTCAGACACTGTATCCTGTCTGTCTAGGCTTAATACAGGACTGGAGCTAAAGATTTGGTATGACCTCAAGCTTATTTGCTAAAATATATAGTGGTAACAGCAACTACAGCAATAAGAACAGACTTTAGCAAAAAATACTCAAATAAACCACCTTGCTTTTAGCAGCAACGTGATTCGAAAGGTACCATGCCTTGTCCTGACATGTGAAACTGCAATGGCAAACACTTCTCAACTTGGCTTTTCCTTATATTAAGGATCCTGGAAGGCTCACTGTAATCACAACTTCAGGGATTTACATTTTTAACACAAATGGTAAGAGTTACTACAACAGGGCAGCTTTTACATGTGGAGCTTTTGTATGTGGAGCAGGCTGGGGGGGAGCACTTATACTTCTGCTCTGACAAAAGCCTGAATTTGATTAGGATTAAACCATAGAGGAGGTTGTTCAATTTTAATGGGTCTGAACAACAGCCATGAAAAAAGCATCAATTTCTGCTCATGAATTGTACGTGACTTCTTACAATATGTACATAATAGTCAAGTTAACAGGTTCCTCATGCCCATATTTGAAGAACGGCTGTATCAGAATGGCTTAAATATCCCTTAGTAAATCTATTTTAAATTACTTCTGTGGAGAGTCTGTGAAAGTCTGTAATGATGGCAATTGCTTCTTGGGTTATTTAACACCAGAAAATTCTGGGTAGCCATTCTAAGATGTTTGTACAAACCCTGCTGTTAATAAGCATGCCTCCCCTTGCATGACTCAGCTCTTTTCCAGTATCCAACTTTTCCCTACTTGAAGGGAAGATGGGGAAGGCTTGTCACAAAGGTTTGTAACTGTTGCTTTTGAGCAGTTTTGGGGTGTTCTTTGATCTAGCAATGATGATTAATCTATGCAGCAGTTGTTTGTTAATTACCTGAAAACTGAGTTTTCAAAATAATAGATCTCAGACTCACAGAAGGAAAAGAGTTATCATGGCATCTAGATGGTCTCCCAAACTGAGAAAATTTGTTTAAGTTGTTTCTTCACTAATGTTTCAGGGCAGCTTTCTTACCTTTTCCTCCGAGATTTTGTGACTTAAGTTTTGCTTTTCCTGCTTGCTTCTATTATTTAATCCATAATTTAATAATACGTATGCTGGAAGGAAGCTATTACAAAAGCAATTCAAAGCCTTATATTAACTTGGAAAAATAACACTTTAGCAAGAGCTTTTTTTTTTCTCCACAGCAATATTCCAGGTGGTATCATATCAGAATTTTCTACAGCTACTTCCAAGGAGGAAACAGCTCTCCAGTATCACAGTACCTTAAGTAGTAGCTTCCCTTTTAACATAATAAGAGCTACACAAAGTAGAAGCTGAACCAACATCTCTGTAGAGGAATAGCAGGAAGAAAAGGTTGGGAAAATATATGCTTTACCAGGA